AAGCGCAGCCCATGCATCGTAAAGTGGTAGGCTTCGGCACAGCAGCGAACCGTCATCATGCAACTAGCAAGCTGGCTAGGGCTGGCACGCTGGCCGCGGAGCTATATGCCCATCAATTTCATTGCGTCTTTGGCAGCGCCATGGCGAGGTGTAGGAGGCAGATGGGGGCAGCGTGCGGGACTGGAGCGAAAGGAATATGCTTGACCACACTTCTGGATTCGCGCTTCCCTGGATGGGGGCCCGATCTATGCGCTGCCACGCGCCTGCCTTCAATTATGGTTACACCAGTGGCTTACGATCCCAAGCCTGAGGCCCAGCACATCCGAGGCGTGGCCCATGCTGTTGGCAAGATTTCGCGGGGCCTCTCCTGGACAGCGGCCCCGTCTGGTCCGAGGGCCCACGGGGGCCGTAATCCTATACCTTTTAGAAGCGGGCAGGGATCCAGTGAAACCATATCGACGGGTTGCTCCTGATATCGACGTGCGCGGGGACTTGGCTGAGTGGAAATTCCCGCCCGCTGAACTGAAGCGCCACCTCGTCGAAGACGACCCCGCCCCATTGCTTGATGATTTTGAATCGACGGTACGTGCGCTGCAGTGGGGCCAAGCGTCGGCCCATTTCTGTTAAGGTGGCATGGAGGGAGGAGCGGGCAACTTCTCCCATCGTCGTTTGTTGCGTCGTAGTCAGCAGGTCGGAAACGGACATCGTCTCTCTGAGCTTCTCGCTTCCATTGCTGGTGGGGGTCGCGGACGCGAGCCCGAAGGCAGGAGGAGATCAAGGGAGAAGGGGAAGATGTCTCGTGCCCACGATGTCGCAAACTCCCAGAGACAATGTTTCATCGCGGCTGGAGTTGCGAGGCGAATCAAGGAGCGAAGGCCTACCGGGATAGCGATTGCTTGGTCAGCGCAGCATTTGCACAGTCAGTTGCGGAACCGTGTATGTGGTTGAGAGGTCTTTTTCCATCGAGCTACACTCAAGTCCCTCCTCCCCCGTCTCAGGAGTCTTGGACCATCACTGGGGCGAATTCGGAGGATCTGGACGCTTGTCTGGGACACGGCCATCTCGGGGACCCTCTCATCGTTCTTCGGAGACGCAAGCGGAGGAAAACGACTTCGGATCTTCGCTTCACAAGAGTTGGAGTTGCGATGGTGGCGCTGCAATCGTACGAGCCATGCCGTGTGCGAGCCTCGATCATCGGCCCGTTGGCTGGAAGCCGACAGACCGTGCCGCGCGGCGAGCTGCGTGGACTGCGGCTCGCCCTCGAGGCCACAGCTGGCGCCATCTGCTATGTTACCGACTGCGACACTGTTGCTGCAGGTTTGTATGACCGCCTGTACGACAGGCCGTCAGGGCCGAACGCTGACTTGTGGCTCGCGATTGGAAAAGTATTGGCAAGCAGACGGGGCCTCGTTTCAGTTCTGTTCGTAAATTCTCATTTGACTCCAGGGCAGATTTTTGGCACTGCGAGTGCCATCGCGGTTAGCTGTTGGAAACGCTGTCGTCGATCATCTCGCCGTCGAGGCGGCGGAGCGCGCCCGAGTGCCCGTCCAGGCACTTCGGCGCGCGGTCCAGGCAGCGAGGCTGATCGACCCGGTGCGAATGCGGTTCCTCAGAGCCACCTCCGACGCGTTGGTCGCCGAGGAACTGGGCGGGAGCTGAGTCGCGAGGAGGGTTGGGCCTCCCCCCCCTCCCCCTCCTCCTCCTGCGCCTGCTGCTGTTGCCGCCCTGCTGTCCTGGCACAGGTTGAGCGACGATCGTAGGAAGTGTCTGCGGTGTTTTGGGACAACCAGCCAGAAAGAGTCAAAGACTTTCTGGGCGTCTCCGCGTTTTGAGCCCCATTCGATCGATAGTAGGTTTGCCTCTGCACCCTCGGGGGGGCGGCTCCATATCGCTGGGGGGGGGGGCACATAGTACGCATTCGCTCAGACTTGAGCGGTCCCTGGGTGTATGGTTTTGTTCCGCGTGTGGGTGTTTCGGAGATCGACAGTTGCGGGGTCTCGGAGACTCATGCGATTTATATGTGAAGCCCCACCGTCGTGATCATCTCAATCGGTTGACGGCGGGCCTGTGGCCGAAGCAGCTTAACAAGGCTGAGCAGCGTCACCGCGGTTTTTAATATTTCATTCAACGACTACGTCGGATTGCTCGAAGCTCGAAGCCCTTACTCACTCTCTTTCCTCCTCCCTCTATCCCTGGCTCCGTCCTCCCTCCCTCCTCCCGTCCTCCTTCCCCAGCCCCCGTCCTCCCTCTTCCCTCTTTGCCGCGCTCTCGCGCCAGAGTTCCTGACAGATTGCCCCGGCATGGCGCTCCGGCCCGAGACTCCCAACAGTCAAGTACGAGATCGTGCTCTCGCCTGGGACTTGACTACCCCCTCCCTCGAGCCAGGGACGCTGACCCCGCCCCCCCCCATCGTTTCTCACTCCTGGACACCAGACTTGCGCGGGCGTTTCCAGCGAAACGGGTTGGAGCAGCTCGCACGCAGCATATCGGAACCCAGAGCTGCGAGGAAGGAGGATCGGGCGAGACGGGCTGGAGCAGCTTTCGCGCAACATCTCGCAACCCAGTGTTGCGAGGATGTCGCGGGTGTCACGGGCCAGACCACTTCATGTCAGGACATCTCGAAGCCAAGAGTTGCGATGATGTCTCAGGCAAAACGGTTTGGACCACCTCGAACAGTCGACGCAACGGGACCCCAATCATTACATCTGTTGTGTGAATGGGGGAAGGGGGAGGGAGGATGAAGAGGAGGAGGAGGAGGAAAAAAGGAGTAGGCGCAACCGCGGGAGGAGGAGAAGTGCGGGTGAGGGAGCAGGAAGTGGAGGAGAAGCATGAGGAGGTGGATAAGAAGGACGAGAAGCATGATGACATGAGGAGGAGGGAAAAGGACGACGGAAGTGGGGGAGGGGGCTGCGGTGGAGGAGAGGGAAATGAGAGAGGAGAGGCATCAGGAAGAGAAGGAGGAGGATGAGGAACAGGAGCACGATTAGGAAAAAGACACGAGCATCAGAAGGACGATGAACAACTAAAGGGGGGGAGAGCGAGGAGGGGCAACGGGAGGAAAGCAGAAGGGGGACGGGGATGAAAAGGACGTGGACGAGAAGCTTGAGGAGGAGGAAGGCAAAGAGGAGGAGGAGGAGTAAGAAGAGGAGGAGGAGGAGGAGGTGGAGGGAGGAGGACGAGGAGGAGGAGGAGGAGGATGTGGCGGAGAAGGAGGGTGGTGGACGGAGAGGGGGGGGGAGCGGGTAAGGGAACAGTGGGAGGAAGGAGGGAGGGGGTAGGAGTTGGTGGGCAGATAATGGAGCGGAAGGGGTGGGGGGAGGGGGTCGAGGAAGAGACGACGCTATGCGAGGGGAAACCATGCTGGCGTGGTGACCCCGAGGACGCTTGGCCCAGGGAGCGCGCCGCCGAACGACAACAGCGGTCCAGTCAGTGAGGGCTTGGCGGCTGATGTTGGGAGGCGCCACATCGGATTCGTAGACACGGGGGAGCAGGAGGATAAGAAAACCATCCGGCCAATGACGCCGATGATGTCGGTGACAAGTATGTGGTCGGTCGGTGCGGAGGAGGAGGAGCAGCAGCAGCAGCAGCATTTGCAGCAGCCGGTGGGAGGAGGAAGGGGAGGGAGCAGAAGGAGTTGTGAAAGTGCCCTGTTGGACGGCAACCGTATGAAAATCTTGAACCGTGCCAGAACCACCGTTCCCGGGACTGCAGCGCCACGGACCCACGTTATTGTTGCGTCCTGACGATCCTGAATCGTGTTAGAACACCCTCCGTGGGACTTCAACACCGCGAATCAAAGTCACTGTTGCGCCCCGACATTGCTACATCGTCCCCAAAGACACTCTCTTGGTTTCTGGGATGTCAACCATGCTAATCCTGAAGACTGCTTTGAACACTTCAGACGATTGTGCGCGGAGCTCAGGCGAGATCCTCGTTTTGAAAAGGTAGCGTTCTCCATCGACGCATGTGGCGGCGCGAAGGCGAGAGTCACATGTTCAAAAAGACCCGCCCTCCATGCAGGAAGCTTTTGCAATATTTTCAGACGAGTTAGCGGGCGGTAAGGTGCGAGCCGCAGTTGGAAACATACCCGCTGCTCATACGTGAAAGTGTTGCAAACTCGCAGCTTAAATATCAGACATCGTGAGGGAGTCTCAGGCGAAACGAGTGGCCCGCCCTACCGGAGGAGTAATGTATGAGGAATGGGGAGGGAGGAGCAGGGAGGGTGAGGATGCGGAGGAGGAGGAGGAGGAGGAGGAGGAGAAGAAGGAGGAAACGCAGGAGGAATGCCCAGGACCGAGAACGGGACCAGAGCGGACCGCGACGAGGAGGGGGGGGAGGTGGGAGGGAAAGAACGACCGGAACAAAGTGGGAGGAGGAAGGACGAGGGACACTGAGGATGACAGAAAACGGAAGAACTCACAGGAAGTAGAAGGGGATAGAGCAGGCGTGAAAATCAGGAGTGAAGGGTGAGAGAGGAGGATGGGGGAAGAGGAGGAGGAAGGAAGGCAGAGGTGGCAACAGAGAAGGAGATAGAGAGGCGGAGGTGGAAGCCAAGGTGCACATGCATTGCCGCCCTAAGCACGACGCCATCTCGTTTCTGAATACTTCTGATGGTGCGTTGACGCGCAGCTATGTTGATCGTTGTGTTTCGGTGAGGTGATGTTTCTGCACTTGTAGGTGCAAGCGGAGGAGAGACGGGCGGGGGAGGAGGAGGAGGAGGAGGAGGAGGAGGAGAAGGAGGAGGAGAAGGAGGAGGAGGAGGAGGTGGAGGCGGAGGACAACAAGTACGACGGCGTCGAGTTGGACAACCAGGAGAGGAAGAGATGTAGGCGTGGAAGGGCAGGAGTTCAGGGAGGGGGGGGAGGTGTAGCAGAAGGAGGTATGCATTTTCCCAGTCGTGCGTGTGCCGCTGCTTCCGCTGCTGAGGCTCCTCCTCTTACAGCCAGATGGCCCAGGACCCCAGCCCAGGCTCGGCCAGACAAAAGGGTGGCGCTGGGCAGGAGTGTGTTGGAGTGATATCGCTGGACCAGCTCGCCGGCTACTCGGTGGCCAACGAGGGGAGGCCCCGCGCCTCCCGCCTGCTGCTGCTGCTCCTTGTACCCCCCTTTTCTGCTCCCTCCTCCTCCTCCTCCTCCTCCTCCTCCTGCCACTCCTCCCCCTTCCGCCTCGTCCCTGTCCTGCCGCTGCCCCTCGCCCTCACCGTCGCATCCCTCCCCAGCCACTCTGACCCGAGTGATCGGGCACTCCTCAGCCCGCGCGCGCGCCGCTCTCCGAAGCTCCTCCCCCCACCCGAGCCGCCACGCCGCTCGGCGGCGTCTCGGCGGCGGCGGCGTCAGCGGCGGCTCGGCGGCTCGGCGGCGGCGTCAGCAGCGCGGTGGCGGCTCTGCGGCGACAGCTCCGCGACTCCGCAGCGGCCCGCGGGCTCAAGAGGGCGTCACCCTCGGCCGTCTCCGAGGGCCCTCTCTGCTGGCTCTCGACCCCAGCAGCGACACGGACGGCGCAGCGGGCCCGGGGCGTGGCTCGGGGGGTGCTTGGGGCGCAGGCCTGGCGAGGAGGCGGCGGCGAACTTGGCTGTGACCCTGGACATCCGGCTGCTCAAATTTGTTCGGTGCATGGGCCCAGGAGGTCTGGACCACTTCCCTAGCGCCAGCATTCCGTCATGAGTCGCCCCTTGAAGTTCCTGAGGCCCGGCGGGGGCCCCTGGAGGCCGAAAACAGCCGAACACAAGACACTGCCGGCTCCAATTGTTCTGGAGCGTCAGATCTCTTTGATCTGCTCCCCCCCACGCTTGCTGGCGGCTGGCGCGTGGGCCCTCAGCGCCCGACGCCGAGGCGCGCGGGCGGGCCTCGGCCCCACCCGCCAAGGCAGCGGCCCGGCGACGCGCGCCTCGGTGGCCGTGGGCCTGGTGCATGGCGCCCGGCTCGACTCCGACCTCGGCTCCAACCTCCAACTCAGAGGAGGCAAAGGTACCCATCCTGCTACCTTTCCCTCGTTTTGCCTGTTTTGGGGCCCCTGGGAGGCCCTCGTCGCCACCATTGGATTCGCCTTGAAATTCTGGTCAGAACGCACATCGGGAGAGGCCCGGGGAGCAGCGGTATCGGTACCTTTTGGTTTCCCCACCAACCTCGCAGGCTGTCATCGACGTCGCTATCTGGCGGCTCGCGGCCGCCGTCGTCCAGGCGTGCCTGCCAGCCCTCACTCCAGAGCAGAGGTTGTCTACTCTCTTCAGCGAGGCGGCGCCAGCGCGGGCTACAGGCGGCGTCGTGCGAATGTTGCAGGAGGAAAACTCCGAGCAAGAGGTCATGGTTCCGCGGAACGCTCCACACGGACTGCAGAAACGAGGGCCGCTGGATATTCTGGAGGTTCTGGTGCATACCATACCTGAGCCAGTCCCACCATGGCATCACCCCCGTCCTAACGGTGCGCTTCGGGCGGCCCCTCTTCCTCCAAGCCCTCCTTCGCCTCCAGAGCTGCGCCCGAGACGCCGAGGGCGGCCCGCGCTGCGACGAGGGCGCGGTCGACCTGCGCGCCCGAGTCCTCCGGCGTGGCCGCCTGCGCGCAGCCCGCTCGGCGCGTCGCCCTTGGGCCGCGGGGCCTCCAAGGCCCACCGCCTCGCCCGCCGCGCCAGGCAGAACCGAGCGCCCCCCGAGGCGCTCGGCCGCCGCCCCTCCCGGGGCGCCGCGCGGGCGGCGCGGCGGGGGCGGGGCCGGGCCGGCTGGCGCGGCGGGCGGGCGGCGCAGGGGCCGAGGGAGCTTTGGAGCGCGGCGGGGGCACGGAGGCCTCCAGGGTCTGAGCTTGCCCTCGGCGCCCGCTCGCACCCCCTCGGCCCTCGGCGGCCGCCCCGCCTCTCCCCCCGGCGGCGCGCGGTGCGCTGTGCAGCGCCCCATGGGCCACTCGACCGGCCCGCGCGCTCGCCGAGTCCGCGGCGGCGGTTCGGAGCGGGAGCGGAATGGCCGACGGAGGGCAGCAGAATTGCAAAAAAAAAAAAAAAAAAAAAAAAAACTCGTTTTTTTGCAATCCTTCGTTTTTTTGCAATCCTTCGTTTTTTTGCAATCCTTCGTTTTTGTTGCAATCCTTCGTGCCGGCCGGCAGTGAGGCGGTGCGGCCGAGACGGGTGCGGAGGAAGCGGGGCCAAGGCCGGCAGCAGTTCCGGCCCACTCTGGGCAGGGCGCGCTGTCGGTGCAGCCACGGGCTTGGTCCATTCGAGGCAGAAGGCCGTCTGCCCAACAGCGGCCGCTGCCGGTTCAGGGCAACGTCTGATGTTGGGCACCGTGTCCCCCAAAGGAGCAGGCACCAGTACAAGCAGTTGTCGCTCCTTGTCCCCCTTAGGCCGTTTTCTCAGATAGGCATTGATTGCCGCATGGATGCCCGGTCGCCAAACTTGTACGTCATAGTGGAATTTCTGAATCGGCTCTCCTATCGCGAACCAGCAGCAACTCATAACTTCCGGAATTCCAACACATGGCATTTCTACACCGAATGACATTGCGGGATGTCCGCAACGTCGTTCCAGAATACCAGGGTCACAACAAACAATCACATGCACGTTGGACTCACAAACCGTAGCTTCAGAGCTTCGGGAGTTGCCATCCGAGAGAGCAGTTCCTTCGGCTGCCAGTCATCACGCGTTGTGCCCACCGGCGTCGTATGCGCAATGTCGGTGTAGCCAAAGGCAGGCGCTAATGGTGTATGCTGCGGGTGGCAGTGCGTCCCGCAATGGACAAGGCAGAACAGGTCGCTTATTTCATCGCAATTCTGTGTGATCTTACCAGATTGAGTTGCACCACAGCCCTTGTGTAGCCTATCACGGCACGGCCGCGAAAGCTGAAGTGGACGACACGCAGCGCAACGACGCGAAATAGAAGGACTTGGGGTTAGACGGCTCCGCACGCAGACAACGCGCTGAACGACGCGGACTCGAGCTCGGAGCTGAACGGCGCGTCTTCCAACATGTGTTCCCGACCGCCCCCGCTCCCTCGTGCGCCTGACCCTAATCTTAATTCAATCCGCCTCGTCCTGATCCTCCTCCCTCCTCTCTCCTGCCCGCATACCTCTACGTGCACACCAGCACGGACGCAATATGGTTGAAATCGATCAGCGCGCTATGCTTATAGTGGCTATGGGCGCGCCCTGACGCGTCTCTTCCCTTCTTTTATCTCCACGTCCTAGGGCCCCCCCTCTCCCCGTGTTCCTCCTCGGGGGAGGGGACCTCCGCGAGCGGGGGTGCGAGCCAGCGGTGAACGCGATGAAGCTCACTCGTGCGGACTCTCGCGCCACTCGGGCCAGCCCTCGTGGGGGGTTGGCGTGCCTCGGGGGTGCTGGCGGGTCAGTGCCCCACGAGGGGAGTGCAGGTCGCGGATGTGCTTGCGCGGCGATCTTCGCGAGGGCCGGAGTTGCCCACTCCCGGAATCCCATGCGCTAAGGCTCGTGCAGCTGCCTCACGCTGCTTCCATGGGCTCCTCCCCTCCTCCGCCCCCTCTCCTCCTCGTCCGTCTCCTCCGCCACCACCCCTTCCTCCTCCTCCTCTCCTCCTCCTCCTCCTCCTCCTCCTCCTCCTCCTCCTCCTCCTCCTCCTCCTCCTCCTCCTCCTCCTCCTCCAATTCATCCTCCTCCTCCTGCTCGCAGGCAGAGCCACTGCGCAGGGGGGCCCATGCCGCGGAGGTCGTCGCCGCCGCCGCCGCCGACGCCGCCGTCGCCGTCGCCGTTGCCGTTGCCGTCGTCGTTGTTCTCCAGGCGCTACCTCATCAGCGTCTACGGCAACCTGTTCGACGTCTCCGACCGCCCGGACAAGTACGGCCCGGAGGGGCCGTACGCAGCGCTGACCGGCTCCGACCTCACGTGGGCGCTCTTCACAGGCAGGGCGCGCACGGCCGCCCTGCCGCGATCCCCGCCCCGTTTCACGCCCCCGTCCCCGCTCGGAGGGGGGGCCCAGACCCCGTCGAGTCATGGGAAGAGAGCGACGGGAGGTTTGGGTCGATGCTCGGCTTCTGGGGGCCCTGGCTGGGCTGGAGGGCCGTCAAGAGACGCTTCAGGACGAAACCCGGTCCCTGGGAATGGGTCGAGATTCTGACCAGATGAAGGCGTCGGGGGTTTGGGGCGCAAGGGGGGCAGGGGAAGGGGGTCGCGTGCTGCTCGAGATCATGGAGTGCGTCTGGGCTGTGATGCTGACGCCATGCGGTAGAACGACGTACCAGCCCGCCTCGTGCTTCGTGTCTCGTGGTGGGATTCGTGCGTGCCAGAGCAAGCGTGGGCCTGATGCGTAGCTGTGAGTTGGCATCGCTGCAGCCCTCCTGACACAGGGAGGCGCAGTACACAACAGCATTGAAATGACACGTTCGCCGTCCTCGGGTTCCAGAAGCATGTTTGCCAGGGTGTGCTTCCGATACTGTGGAGCACCCATGCAAACCTGCGCGCTGCAGCAGCGTGCAGATCATTCCCACGGCAGTAGCTGGGCACGTCTTTGGGCACAAGCGTGCGCGATATTGTGGCTGCAGATGTTTCGAGCGCCAAACACTACACTTGCCTTGTGGCGATCGGCTTCGCAGAGCTGCCATAGACCCAACTGATGCCATTCAGCTGCAGCCGCTGGCCAGCCGCTCTCTAGGAGCGCGTGGTGCTTGAGGTTGTGCAGTGCGATCGGGCTTTGATGCGAATGGCATACGCTAGCACGAAATACTAGCCCGCCTCGTGCTTCGTGTCTCGTGGTGGGATTCGTGCGTGCCAGAGCAAGCGTGGGCCTGATGCGTAGCTGTGAGTTGGCATCGCTGCAGCCCTCCTGACACAGGGAGGCGCAGTACACAACAGCATTGAAATGACACGTTCGCCGTCCTCGGGTTCCAGAAGCATGTTTGCCAGGGTGTGCTTCCGATACTGTGGAGCACCCATGCAAACTTGCGCGCTGCAGCAGCGTGCAAATCATTCCCACGGCAGTAGCTGGGCACGTCATTGGGCACAAGCGTGCGCGATATTGTGGCTGCAGATGTTTCGAGCGCCAAACACTACACTTGCCTTGTGGCGATCGGCTTCGCAAAGCTGCCATAGACCCAACTGATGCCATTCAGCTGCAGCCGCTGGCCAGCCGCTCTCTAGGAGCGCGTGGTGCTTGAGGTTGTGCAGTGCGATCGGGCTTTGATGCGAATGGCATACGCTAGCACGAAATACTAGCCCGCCTCGTGCTTCGTGTCTCGTGGTGGGATTCGTGCGTGCCAGAGCAAGCGTGGGCCTGATGTGTAGCTGTGAGTTGGCATCGCTGCAGCCCTCCTGACACAGGGAGGCGCAGTACACAACAGCATTGAAATGACACGTTCGCCGTCCTCGGGTTCCAGAAGCATGTTTGCCAGGGTGTGCTTCCGATACTGTGGAGCACCCATGCAAACTTGCGCGCTGCAGCAGCGTGCAAATCATTCCCACGGCAGTAGCTGGGCACGTCATTGGGCACAAGCGTGCGCGATATTGTGGCTGCAGATGTTTCGAGCGCCAACGGCCACACTTGCCTTGTGGCGATCGGCTTCGCAGAGCTGCCCCAAGCCCAACTGATGTCATGCAGCTGTTGCCGCTGGCCAGCCGCTCTCGAGGGGCGCGTGGTGCTTCAGGTCATGCAGCGCGGTCGGGCTTTGATGCGAATGCTATGCGCTAGCTTGTCACATGCGCTGGCATGCGAATGGCGTGCTAGTGGCATGGCTCGCCGCTCTCGGAGTTCAAGTGCTTGCCAACGCCTCGTTTGATGCCGAGGAGCTCCCGTGCAAACTTGCGGGCTGCAGCAGCGTACACCTCTTTCCCGTTGGAACAGACAGGTACTTTTTGTCGCGCTAGTGCGGCTGCAGTTTCTTTGAGCACCAAACGCTACACTGAGCTTGTGGCGGTCGGCTTCGCATAGCGACCATATATTCCACGGGTGCTTTCAGCTGCAGCCGCCAGCCCGCCGCTCTCTAGGAGCGCGTGGTGTTCGAGACAGTTCATTGCGTTCGGGCTGTAATGATCTTGCCATGTGGTAGCACGAACTACCAGCCCACCTCGTGCTCCGTGTCTAGTGGTGGGAGGAGGGAGAGATGGCTCCTCCTCTCTCCGTTGCTCTCGCATCTCCAGCAAGGTTCCACCTCCTTCCCCTCCCGCCTTCCCCCTTTTCCTTTCCCCCCCATCCGCTCCCCTCCTCCTCCCTACGCACCCCCGCCGCTGCCCTCCTGAGGAAGGGAGTGGCGATTTGGTGGATCCTTGCCTTCCTACCCCTCTAGTGCTTCCAGCGTTTCGGCCACAGGGTGATGATCACGCAGCAGCAAACGCTAATACAGTTTACTGACGCAGCGGCAGCGGCACGACTGCCCCTCTCCAGCGATGGCAGCAGGCGCGCCCCTCCCCCTCTCCTTCTCCTTTTCCCCCCCTCTCTCGCATGCCCGCTTCCCGCTGGAGGGTGATGGGAGGAGGGAGGGATCGGCCACGCACAGAGGGGGGTCATGGGGAGAGGGGAAGGCTTCTTAGAAGCAGGCTGCTTCTTAGGAGGCGCGGGCCTTCATCTATAAATGTAAGGCCGGCGCCTTCTTAGAAGCACTCTTCTCCTGAGAAGTTTCCCCCCTCCCCCCTTCCCCCCTCTGCGCGCCGCCAGGGATTGGAGGCGCCCATGGGCCAAGGGTGTCACGGGACACGGTAGCGGGAAGCACGTGGCTTCTGCGTCGATCGGGAGCGTTGTGAGACGGGAGTCCATGCCAACGGGGGTCAGCCAGAGCGTTGGACTTTGCAGGATCATGCGGGGGCAGCGAGGGCTGCAGAAAAGGAGCCCTTTAGGGTCCCTAGTTGGGCCTTTGACGGCCCAATAGGGAGCCGTCAGGGCCAGAAAAGTGCACTGTTTTTTCCCCTCTTTTTTCGCCCCCCTCCCAAGCAGAGCCATGGGTGCATTGACCCGGGTAAGCGCGCAGGATCCTGCAAGAACTCGTTCCCGCGAGCTTGGGGCATCACCAGCCCCGACGGGTTGTCTTGTTGGCCCAGCGCTTCCTCGTCGGTGCCCGATCGTCACCTCGCATTGCAGCGGCGGATGCTGGCATGCCGCATTTGGGCGACGATGCCACGACGATGCGTGTGTGTGGGGGGGGGGCTTGGCCGAGCACAGCGGGCCGGCGGTGGAGGAGGTGGAGCAGGAGGACAAGGAGGCAGAGCAGGAGCAGGAGCAGGAGCAGGAGGAGGGGGACCTGACGCCACAGGCGTCGGACCCCGAGGCCTTCCGGAGGAAAAGGAGGGGCGGGGGGAGGAGAACGCGGACGAGAACGACGAGAGAGACGAGGAGGAGGAGGAGGAGGAGGAGGAGGAGGAGGAGGAGGAGGAGGAGGAGGAGGAGAGGGAAAGGGAGCGAGGGGGAGGGTGCTCGGGAAAATGGGGGGGTATGTGGGAGGGAAGGGGAGGGGAGAGAGAGGAGCGGGGGGAGGGGCAGGGGGAAGGGTAGGCGACATGGGTAGGGGGAGCAGGGAAATGGAGGTAGAGCAAGGGGGAAAGGAAATGGTGATGCTGATGATGATGATGATGATGATGAGGATAGAGGAGGAGGAGGAGGAGGAGGAGGAGGAGGAGGAGGAGGAGGGAGGAGAGGGACGAGGGGGGGGAAGGAAGGAGGGAGGAGGGAAGAGGGAGGAGGGAGGAGGGAGGAGGGAGGAGGGAGGAGGGAGGAGGGAGGATGGAGGAGGGAGGAGGAGGAGGAGGAGGAGGAGGGGAGAGGAGGGAGGGAGGGGAGGGAGGGAGGAGGGAGGGAGGGAAGGGAGGGAGGGAGGGAGGGAGGGAGGGAGGGAGGGAGGGAGGGAGGAGGGAGGAGGAGGAGAGGAGGAGGAGGAGGAGGAGGAGGAGGGGAGGAGGAGGAGGGGGGGAGGAGGAGCAGGAGGAGGGAGGGAGGGAGGAGGAGGAGGAGGAGGAGGAGGAGGAGCCTGGTCTCCTCAGGGGCAGGAGTGGGAGAAGGTGGAGGAAGACGTGTACGAATCATAGGTTTCCTTGTTTCTCCACCCGTGATTCCGCATCGGCCTGCAGCCCAAACTGAGGCCACGCTGCCCAAGTCGGTCATATCATGTGCTGGTGCAGTGACCCGTCAGCCCCGCAGTTGGCGCAGCGTCAAACAAAACGGAGGTGTAGGGACGGGTTAGGGGAGAGACGGAGGAGGAGACGGAGGAGGAGACGGAGGAGGAGACGGAGGAGGAGACGGAGGAGGAGATGGAGAAGGAGACGGAGGAGGAGGAGGAGGAGGAGGAGGAGGTGGAGGGGCGAGCAGGAGGAACGAGGACGAACACGAGAGCAGGAGCGCAAGCACGCGCCCGAGTATTAGAGAAGTGAGGGGAAGGCGAACGGAATGGGACAGGGGGTGATCGTGGGTGGCGGAAGAGGGGAGGTGGGATGAGTGGAGAGGAGACCATGTACGATGAGGACGGCAGCGACAAGGGGAGGCGCATCAGCAGAGGGAGAAGTGGAGAGAGAGAGAGAGGAGAATGAGGAGGAGGAGGAGGACGACGACGATGACGAAGCTGATGAGGAGGATATGTATGTGAAAGGAGGAAAGATGAAGAGCAGCCGCAGCTTGTGGCAGATGGTCAATGGTCGCATCGCTGTGTGAGCGAGTGAGTGCGAGCGGGTTGGAAATGGGGCAGCCGCCCCCAGAGGCGTGGACCAGCCCGAGATGACGAGCAGGCTCTACGACCTATTCAAGGCCAAGGAAGGCCGAGGGGGATGACAGAAGAGTCGGAAGTTGAGCAGTAGTTGGAGGAGGAGAGGGCGTGATATAAAGAGGACCAGGTGTTCGACTTTCGTCGTCAGGCCATGTCTTTCCTGGCACCCACGACGAGAGGCGCCAGTCTGAGCGCCGAGCTTGCATGGCACTGTGGGCCTGCCGTGCGCGACGCGATGGGGCCAGCGCTCCAGTGGAGTAAAATGATATGGCAGGCATTTGCCTTTCCCGACGAAGCGTTGCTCAGTTTGCCTGAATTTAAACGCATGTGGGACCAAGTTTTCTCCCATGTGCTGCCTGGATCCACGTGCGCCCACGCCCGAGGCCCGATCGCCAGAGTGCTGTTTTGCCTCGCCCGTGTAAGGTGGCGTCCCGCCTCAGCCATTGCGTTGGTCAACCAGAATGGTATCACGATCCAGCTCACCTAGCGCTGCTCTGCACTGCGATGTAGAATGTTTAGCACTGCGTTCCAGGATGCCCATGAGAGGGCTCTGGGGGTGAGGGGGGGCTTCCTGAAGCGGCGAGGGCTAACCTGGACGTAGTCAGAAGCTGTTTGGGGACTAAGCCCAAGTTTTCGAAGTACCAGAAGTATTTGGTTCTTGCGGCCATATGCGACTGCCTGTGGACTGAGCAGGTGGCACATGATAACGGTTGCTGCACTGCGCGCGCGCAGGCTTGTGTGAATGCGGAGAGCCCGGCGCTGTCCAGCACATGCTCTCCTGCTGCACCCTCCCTGCAGTGTGCACCGGTCGGGCGGAATCTGAGGTCCCTCAGTCCATCATTCAGGCCGCCAACGGGGACCCTGCTAGCTTGCTCCACAGCAAGGGTGTCGCATCGATCCTTCCAGGCGACGCCCCCCCTGTCCGTGAAGTTTCGGTCGCCCAAATCTTGGATGGAGATGGTGAGTTTTTCCTTCAGCTTTAGGCTGAGGAAGCCACCACGTTCGCAGGTAATGCCGGTCGACTACACATCGCAGTTGACGGAAGCAGCACCAGGCCGATTCTGTACTGTTTTCAGCGTGCTGTTTTTTTCGGTGGTTCTGTTCGACCCCCAGACCGAAGCCACCCTTTCAGTGGTGCGTGGCACTGCGCCTGGAGGTTGCCCACAGACACCAGCTGTGGCTGAGAATTCCTCGCTCGCGGTGGCCTGCCAGATCGCGGGTCGCAGTTCGAATGCGCGCGCAGACTGCAAAGCAGCTATCGCCCAGGCGCTGCCCCCCCCCCCAGCATGAGCAGTTGCGTGCTGGACAGGCATTCGCGGGAGTCTCAGTATATGCCAGGTCTCTCGAGGGATTTGGTCATTCTGAGTCCATCCAGCATGTGGAAGTCCATCGGAGCGAGGACGCGATTGGCAACCTCCCGCCTGTCCTTCGCGCGCCAGCGCAAGGAAGCCGCGCCGCCGACCTGCGTGCGAATGAGGCGATTCGTCTCCACCAGGACGTTGGGCCCGAGGCTGCCACCCAGCTCGAGAGCGAGGTCGCGACGGCCTCGACTTTTGTCAAGCTTGCCGCTGCTGAGTTTCCCTGATTTCCTGTCGAGAGCGAAGCGTGAGCGACCCTATGCCCGCCGTCGGTCCGTCCAGTCGTCCCCAGGATGGCACGAGAGGGAAGAGGGACCGCTCGGCATGCAGTGCAAGCAGTGTCTGAGGATCGCCCACGAGGGTGCGTCCCGCGAGGCTCTGGGTTGCTCTGGGGCCCCCGAGTTCGTTCGTCCGGTCGTCCGCCGCTCCCTGGGGCACCTGATTGTGGGTGTGGCCTCCCACGAGATCCACCCCAGAGCTCCTGAGCCCTCGAAATCAAAGGTTAATCGTTTGCAGTTTTGTTTCTGTGTGTGTGTTCGTTGCGGGTGCTGGTCCCACCGGTGTTCGCGTAACCTTGATAAGGCTTGCCTGAGGCCAACAAGGAAAGGCCGTGAGGTGTTGAACAAGTACCGCCAAGGACTCGGCCCCAGCAGTCGAGTACGACAGTATATTGATCGTGCTTCTGCGGTTTCAGCGTTGCGTGTGGCTCCGAAGCCGCGGTGCAAGACTCTCGCTCGCGCCGCTGTGCCGACTGCCCACTCGAGCGCCTCTCGCTGTCCCTGAATACGAAAGACGGCTGGCCGCCCTCGCTGGGCGAGTGTGCCAAGGAGGCGCGCAAGGCAGGAGCGTGAGTTCAGGTCGTGGCACCCTGTTGCGGGCCCTGGTCAGAGTGTGGGGAGTACGGTCTTCCAGGGTGACAAATCCTCTGTCATCCTTCCGAAGGGTGCCACCGACCTTCTTCGTTGTTGACTTGCGAGTCTCTTCCTCTCGGGGCTGTCCTAACCTAACCTCCTCCTCCTCCTCCTCCTCCTCCTCCTGCTGCCGACCCTGAGCCGCATTGGGTTGGGCGCATTGCGGACCGAGTTTCGGATTTGCACCTTGTGGGTGGAGCCTAGTGCCGCGCGAGAGAAGCACCCCCCTTCGGTGTGCTCCCCGTGGCGCTTCACTTCTTCTGGTCTCCGTCCCCTTTGTATTGTGCCAGCGCCAGCTCCGCGATCCCGCGGGTGGGAGCTGCCGACCTTCTCTGGCATTCGGGAGGTCGTTCACGACCTCCGATTCGCTTGTGCACGCCCTGCGCCCTGTCGTCAGGAGCGCGGCGTCCGCCAGCCAGCGTCGTATCCTCATCCTTCTCCTCCTCCTCTTCCTCCCTCTCCCTCCTCCTCCTCCTCCTCCTCCTCCTCCTCCTCCTCTTCCACTCTCTCCCTCCTTCTTCTCGGCCGCGGGGCCCTCCCCACTTCCACGTCTTTGTCCACCTTTTCCTCCTCCTCCTCCTCCTCCTTCTCCTTGATGGTCCACCGTATTAAGCATGGGCTGCTCATGAGCACGGAGCGGTTGTTTTTTTGGTACGCCTGTCGCTGGATGATGGACGGCCAAGTGTGATTCCCCTCGGCCAGCGCTACGCTTCAAGCATTTCTACCGAAAGATTGTCGTGCTGGCGACGCTGATGAGCGAGGTGTTGTGCTGTCTCCTGGTGCAGTGCGGACTTTTGGACTTCGCAACACGGACGTGAGGGTTATTTCGGCGACCCCCAACAGTGCCTTCTTTCCGATTGTGCGGCAAAGTACCTCTTCGGCGCAAAGGGGTTTCATTGCGGGTCGCCAACTCACGTCCAACATCTTGGAGCTAGATGTGATGGCTCGCATTGCGTCGATGCAGCCCTGGTGGAGAGCAAGCAACCCATATTGGTCGCGTTGGACTTCGGCCAGGCCTTCCCAATTTCTAACCTGTAGTACCTTTTCACGATCCTCACTTCCATGCAGCTGCCGTCGGCCTTTCTCGTGGCGTGCCGCTCGCTGTATGCTTCGATTACCGCTGTGGGGCGCATTGCGGGGATCACCAAAGACTTGTTATGCATCCTGTGTGGGATTATTCAAGGGTGTGCTCTCTCAGGCAGCTTATTCGCTGCAGCTACGTCGCCCTTTCTTGAAGATCTCCGATTGGGTCTTCAAGTCCGGCACAGTGGTATATTTCGGGCACGTGCCGACGATATCAGTGGGGTATTCTTCGATCGCCTTGACCGTCGCTTCCTTGCGCGTGCCATGACAGTCGCTGAGAAGATTGCGAACTTGAAGCTCAAGCCACCGAAGTGTGTGATCGTCCCACTAGTGCCGGCTGCTAACCCTGATATCGTCGCCAGTTTGAGGCGGTGTTTGGCGACCATCGTCCCCAAATGGATCGCCTTTCGGATCGAGGCCACGCTGCTATACCTGGGCACGTGGGTCGGTCCAGCGGCGTCTGAGGCTTGTTTTTGGCTAGCACCTTGGGACAAGTATCGGGCACGGGTGGCTGCACTGGCCTCATCTGCCGCTCCAGCTTCTCTCAATGCTATCAACTACGTGACCCGTGCCCTGCCGACGATGAGCGACAATGCGCACTTCCAGCCCCTTTCCCAAGCAGCTACATATCCTGTTTCGTCTTTTTCGGCTGCCTGGTGGCGCCTTGAGATACATCGATTTCTTTTGCTTGGGACAATGGGAAGGACCTAAACTTCGCGCGCTTGGCCCCTCTTGCGAGGCGACGCTGATACGGTCTGATCTTAGTGGCCAGCTCTCTCCCCGTATTTGGGTACTACCCTCGTTTGTCGAGCAGATAGCGGCAGCGTTGAAAAGCAACACCTCTGCGGGGGCACTTGCTGCTCGTCGTTCAGAGGCACGGCGCGGCACTCGGTTCAGAGGCAGCTTATCCGGCCGCTGTTCAAAGCATGATGCGGTCATTCTTTTCTAACGCCAAAGGGAGCGACTCGCCGTTGATTGACACAATCATCAAGACATGGTTCCCGCAAAAAGCTGTAGAGCTCGCCGACATGGATTGGGGCGTTCTGGAAGATAAACTGTTGGCGCTTGCGACAGCTCGTATTTCCTCGCCGACTGGCGTCCGCCATTGCATCTTCGGATGTGAAGCTTGCCTCGGTGAGATCGGCCACTACTGGCTTGGGGCATCGCCATGGCTAAGTCGGGAGGGCGCGCCCTCTTACTTGGGGATGTCTTAGACCGCCGGGGTCTTCGAGGAGGCTACGACGACGATCTAACGAGCCTACAGCTCGCCACCATCATCTACCACGAGGTGCGCCACTCGAACAACGTCGATACCGATCACCTTCTTCACGCTGCACGAGGGGCGATCCGCGCGAGAGCCTTAGCGAGTCCGACGACGGGGCGAGTTCGATTGCATCGCAGGCCTGTTGAGTTGATTCGTTCGCGGGCACCCTCCAGTCCAGAAGAGAGCCCACAAACCTCATGGCCACCGCAGTTGCCCCCACCTTCCCGAAGGCCAACGTACGCTTCGCATTCGGTCCCCGCATGCCTTTGGGGAAGGCCGATTTGCCATTCCTCTGCCGGTGGGAATTGGGGAGCTTATGGCTTCTCGGGTTGCCGACCTGGGTCTTCCGGTACAGTCTTGAGCGCGCATTTGGGTTGGCTCCATGGTCTTTGCCAGCAATGGTCTGTCTGACTTCGACGACTGGATGAAAA